CATTTCAAATCTAAATTTGCACCGTGCAATGCCAGGTAACTCAGCTAGTTATAAATAAAATTCATAAAACTCAAATATCCTAAATCTAAATGTTTTTTCTGCCAATGAGATGTGTAGCTGGCTAAGTATAAAAGAATTTTATTGGCTATTTTAAAGTTATCAGTCTTTATGATTATATTTGTTGTATTAATAAATACATTATTTTAGGTTTCTTTCACTAAAATTAAGATTTCCACCATTTGTTAAAATCTAAAGAAGTTTGGAAAAGGTTTAGAAAAACTTTTTCTTTGCTTTATCACTTGAAATCAGCTTGCTTCAGCAACTCTGCTGAGCAAATTCTTATTCATTGCAATAGTTTTTACCCCCCTTTTTCACATTTTTCAGCCTTGAGCAAAGATTTTGATGTTGTGTTCAATTCCATTCCTATCTTTCTCAAGGTAGCTAATGAAGAGAAGGTTTTAGGAGATTATTGGTTGGTTATCCAATACTTGTTTAATAAAATGTGAAGGAGCATATTATAATTGTAAATATTCTATTCACAGCTATCTATACTTTGTCTGGCAGAGCTACTAAGGCTATCTGTTGCCATCAAATCATAGTTTATAATTCTTAAATAATTAGATTTTAATCAATCTAAAAGTTATAGGGTAAAGAAAAAAAAAATATGGTAAACACATTTATAACAGAAACATAATCAATATTCATATATAAAGTAAAGCTGCTGCCATCCCTAATATTGAGCTATGACTAAAGGGAAAGCAGCCAGTCAGCAACATCCTCCCACCCATTATCCAAGCTAAGGGGACTGACTGTCACTCTTATAATGCAACCACAGCTTAAAGAGGGAGAAATATTTTGCAGTATTGCAAAGATATGAAACCCAGCTTACTAGCCCTCACCCCATTTACAACAAAGTCTTTTGTAGCCATATAAATAATGCTTTTTTTTACATATGTATCTGTGGTTCTTTAGCATAACTTAAGTAGTACCTTGCCAATGTTTCGGGTCACCAACACTTTAAAGATCAAACAGTCTGGAACAAGAGGGTTAATAGAAATTTTTAAACCCTATAATGTTTTTCTAAACTTTGAATATAATGCGATGTGATATATGCAATGATGTTTTTCAGAGAAACGGACCACATGATAATGATTCTTACATATCGCCTGCACACTCTTATAGTTGTCTGTTTCATCTTCGTTTCGTTCTCCACTTTGTTTCACTCTGTATGCTACATCTTTGAGCTGAGGTTTTTCAAGGGAAATCATAGTTTCTAATTCTTGAATAATTAGGGTAAAGGACGGACGATGTTTTGGATCAATCTAAAAGTTATAGGGTAAAGAAAAAAATATGGTAAACACATTCATAACAGAAATATAACAAATATTCATATATAAAGTAAAGCATACTACTTTTGTAAGCTCAGTTTATACTATGTTGGAAACATTTTACATTAAACAGTAAAAATCTAGAAACTGTCTTTAGACTTCTTTCATTTTCAATAGTAGTTCTATAGCATGCAATAAAAAACAGGATTTTAAAACACAGGATATATAAAACTTTTAAAACAACTAGTTCAATATAAAAGGTAACAAAAAACAAAGGAAGAACAAAAAAGCTTACAATACCTATTTCAATATAGAAAGTAAAAATAAACATACGATTTTAAAACACCGGAGGTACAAAACTTACCCTACAACAACACAATGCTAGCTTAAGAAAGTCTGGTGGACAGTCTGGGCACATCTTGCTGAATGCTTTATAGTCTACTCCGAAGTTCTGAAGAAACAACACATAAATAACATAGATGAAGAAATTATTCTACATTCATTGCTTTAACCTTCTTATAACCTGTAAAATTTCTTTAACTTATCTCACATTCAGTACCATGGCTACAGATAACTGTTTTTTACATGTTCTTAAAACTATGCATCTCAGTGTTATACAGACATGAAAAATATATCTTTAGACATATTGGTGATTAGTATGTTATCTCTTCCACAATTAAAATTAATAAAATCGACTTGTAAATTGTTTACTAGCATTTCATAAGCTTAAGATACAGCAACAGTTCCCAAATCAGAGCAAAAAAGTATCAAAAAACAAACATATCTTAATCATATTAAGTTTAAAAAAAGTATAAACCAATGAAGTATAGCAAAAACAAATACTGTACTATTTAAAAGATGAAATTAATAATTATAACGAACAGAATTAATCATTATACTTTTATACTTCAGTAGTAATATTGATGTTTTTAATTATATGTAATATTGTTCACCTCAGTTCGGGGTAAAATATCAGGATCTGCTTCAATTCTGGCAATCATTTCACACAGAATTATACCAAAAGAAAATATGTCGGCCTGCAAAAATAAAACAGAACCAATGATATCAGGATGGAAATTTACAGACATTAGGCTATTCTATCTAGTTTGTGTTAAATATAAAGTACTTAATCAGTTACAACTAGCATATTCAGTAATAAATTAACTAACTCTTGGTAAGAAATACACTAACACGAGTACATCCCTCTTCAGACCTTCTGAAATTGTAACTCAAACATGAAATATGAGTATTCATACCCATATGACTTACTTTGGACTTACTGAAACTGTAACACAAACATGAAATATGATTATTCACAACCTACATCTCCATGTCAAATCACAACTATCAAACCCTACTATTGTCACCCTAACACAAGCAGACATCTTTTTAGCATTGCTACTACCAAATCACCCCAAAACTATCAAAATCACAACACTTTTGACAGGTTCCTTCTCTCGTTATATCACATCATAATAACCACTGCTGGATACAAATAACGTTTTTAAGAAAGATTCTTACGTCATCTTGCTCTTCATCTACCAAGCACACTATTTGATGATTGTTTGAAGTTAAGCACAAAGCTACACAATGGGCTATCTGTGCTCTCCCCACCACAGGTATCGAAACCCGGTTTCTAGCATTGTAAGTCTGCAGACATACCGCTGTGCCACTGGGGGCCTATTTGGTGATCCCATAAAACATCATAAGTGGTAATTATAAGGAAGTAACCATTAAAAACAGTCAATGACGTATAAAATCATAATAGGCTGCATTCATTATCAGTTCAGTGGTTTTTTTCATGATAACTACCTCACCACGCTTACCTTTTTATTTATTTATTCATGGCAGGTTTTTTAGTTTCAAATGGAAAGAAACTTTCCTCAACTGGGGTGTTCAGGGATATTAGTACCCCCCCCCCCCACTTCTGACGATTACGTTTACCTAAAGTGGGATTTTAATAACTTTATTAATATGGGAGGGGGTTACGATTAATAGTTCGTGGGCTGAGATTATTAATTTTGGAAGGGTTTAAGAAATTAGTCTTGATTTAAATTTTCACGAGAGAACTGATGAAAGCAAAGATGACGATGCGAAGGCTGAGGCTGAAATCCCAGATTTCAACAAAGATTATCTTACCTTCTCATTGTACCATTCTCCTTTTAAACATTCTGGTGCCATCCAATATGGAGACCCGACAACTGGAAGTCTGTGGGTTTGATCACTACAAGACACCACAAAAAAGGTTTTTCATGAAATCAACCAACTTGAAATAAGCACTAAAAGAGAATTTTTTTTCAAACTTAATACATCAACCTCCCCTTCACCACTGAAATAAAGTCAACTAATATTTAATATACCAAACTCTCCTTTCTAACTATAATCTAGCCAACCCGACCATCCAACCACAACATGCTTCAAAAATGTAAATATATTACTTGACGTTTTACAACATTTCAGTGACTAATTTAATATTGACTTTTTTTCTGATTTTATATGTAAAATAAACACTTTTTACAGTCTAAAGTCAAATCATATCTAAAGCATTTTTTCTATATTTAGTAAAGGCTAATTCTGTTGTTTTTAGAAAATACATTTATATTATTAAGTCATACGCCACAGCCTTGCTAAGGTAAGGCCAATTTACTTTTAGATATATTTGGTCAACATTCCAAATGGTAGCATTCTTCTTCTGTTTCTCAAATCATTTATTGATAGAAAGTAACCACTTTCTAATAATCACATTCTTCCTTTAAATATCAAATCTACTGGTAGGATACAAACACAATTTACAATGAACATTTTAGTTTCTGCTTAGTTATTTTTTCTGATAATATCTGACTAATTTCTGATCATAACATAAATCTTTACTCCTGTCTTAAAACAATTTGTTTCCAAAGTTGTATATGAATATAAAGCAATTTACAGTGACAGATTAATAGTCGCTAATACAGATATATATTAACACAATGAATCTGTTATAAGGTGTCACCCTTTTAAAGTTTAATAAAATATATCATAACTTATACAAGATGTATGAAAGGTCTACAAAATTTCAATAACACAAATGTACAAGAAACAATTAAAAAATAACTATTTTTGTTTGAAGTAAATTTGCCAGTGAGCCATGTACTTTACTAAACCCTGTGTGAGATCTTAGTGGGTTATGTACTTTACTAAATCCCATGTGGCCATAGTATAACCCACAAAGAACCCACATGGCTTGTAGTAAAGGACATTAACTGTCCTTTACTACAAGCCATGTGGGTTCTTTGTGGGTTATGTACTTCACTACAAGCCATGTGTGTTGTTACTAGATTATGTACTTCACTACAAGCAACGTGGGTTCTTTGTGGGTTATGTACTTCACTACAAGGTATGTGTGTTGTTACTAGATTATGTGCTTCACTACAAGCCATGTGGGTTATGTACTTCATTACAAGCCATGTGGGTTCTTTGTGGGTTATGTCACTTCACTACAAGACATGTGGGTTATGTACTTCACTACAAGCCATATGAGTTCTTTGTGGGTTATGTAATTCACTACAAGGTATGTGTGTTGTTACTAGATTATGTGCTTAACTACAAGCCATGTGGGTTATGTACTTCACTACAAGCCATGTGGGTTCTTTGTGGGTTATGTACTTCACTACAAGGTATGTGTGTTGTTACTAGATTATGTGCTTAACTACAAGCCATGTGGGTTATGTACTTCACTACAAGCCATGTGGGTTCTTTGTGGGTTATGTACTTCACTACAAGCCATATAGGTTCTTTGTGGGTTATGTACTTCACTACAAGCCATACGAGTTCTTTGTGGGTTATGTACTTCACTACAAGCCATGTGAGTTCTTTGTGGGTTATGTACTTCACCGCAAGCCATGCGAGTTCTTTGTGGGTTATATACTTCACTACAAGCCATATGGGTTCTTTGTGGTTTATGTACTTCACAACAAGCTATGTGGGTTGTTAATAGGTTATGTACTTCACTACAAGTCATATGGGTTCTTTGTGGGTTATGTACTTCAATACAAGCCATGTGAGTTGTTAGTGGGTTATCTAACTTACTACAGGTTGTGTCTGTGTTTTTTTTATGAAGTTTTAATAGTTCAGACGACTAACAAACTTCTATCTAAAAAAACGTTTCGGTTTATGCGTAAAAGACCACACCTCGTTATATCTGGTATTCTCTCTGCCAAACCAAAGTCTCCAACAACAGCTGTCATACCGGAACTTTCTCTTTTGATAAGAACATTCTGTGGGAAATATTAACCAATCAATGAAAAGTCATTTTTAAACTGTAAAGGCTTAGTCTAACAAAATTCACTGTACTTTTTTTACAGTACTGATGGAAAAATAGACCTACTGTTCTCTGGATAGAGAAAAAACAACAGTTATTCCAAAACAAATACACATTTCCATCAAACGCTAAGTTTTAAAAACACATTAATGTAATTCAATAGCTTAGAAATGTACAGTGCTGCTACCTAGTGGAACATCCCGAGAACAATCTTAACACATCCTAAAATAGACCTGCCTACGTTTATCAAGTTGCATAGTCATCACGCTGCGTGCTATTGGCCCACCAATGCCCTGTCTCAACGTGGGTTTAAAGTTCCTTTTTATTACGTGAACTGTATGTACAGTTTGACTTTTTTTTATTATGAAACAAGTAGAAAAAGGTGTTAGACGTAAATGCCATGACTTCTTGTACATCATGTCCGCCAAATCTCACCCATACCGTGATTCACTTATAAAATTCTTCCGGTCTGAATAATATTGTTGCAAGAATAGATGTCTGGTTAATATTATTGCAAGAATAAAGGTCTGGTTGATTATTGCAACTGAAATTTCCTTGTTTATAGTTAATCATTTTTCTGAAGCTCCAGGAAGTTCGTGTACCACCCAAGCCTCCAAGGAAATTGGCTCATCTAATGTATTACTCATCGGCTATAATAAGGCTGTAAAATGATCTTTTTCTGCGATCTAAATGTCAAAGCGTATTTAATGCAATATTTCCATCTTTAGTAAAGGCCAAATCAGTTGTGATTAGAACATTATATCTATATTATTAAATCAGATGACAGCCTTGTTAAAAGTAATATTTCCAACATCAGTAAGGACAAAATTGTTCATAATACTCCTACCAAATGTCAGGGCCTTGCTAACATAGTACTTTCAAATTCAGGGAAGGCAAAATTTGTCGTTGTTGGATCAATACATCTACAACACTCCTATCAATTGTTAGGGCCATGCTAACTAACATAGTACTTCAGGGATGGCTCATAGTTTGGTTATCGAATGCAATAGATTGACATCATTATTATCAATAAATAATATGATAAAAGTAATCACAAAAGTTTTATCAAATTTAATACAAGTTTATCAAAACCCTTATCCACATAGTATCATACGTATTATTATATTTATCTTCTAGTGAAGTGTATTTAACTCGGCGACAGAAGTAGGCAAAACTTCAGACAAAAACATATTACTCTATGTAGCAATAACCGACTATAGTTGCCTAATTCAACAAGAAAAATCTTCATATTTTTAATCCAAACTTTATAGATGGGAATAAGAATGGACACTGTGAACCTTTCATTTTTTAGATAACTAGAATACATTGACACTTATGCTTCACATTCAGTTGGTCATAAATAAACTTACGCTCTGATTAACTGGCTATATGATTCAATTATTTTTTATGGTATAATAAACGAGTGGACATAATGACAATACCTTGGACGTCAGGTCACGATGAAACACCCCTCGTGAGTGTAAGTACGCCATTCCCCGAGCGATGTCCAGTGCCAACTTCACCCTCACCGGCCATGGAAGGGGCTCGTTTTTGTTAAGATTCAGCTGCTCCAGGCTCCCCCCATTGATGTACTGTTAACATAACATTCAATTTGATAAATAAGGCTATTTACATTCGTTTAAATCTGCAGTGAACTTTCAGAGATCCTCAACTGAGTTCATCCCAGTTATAAAGCGACACCTATATTCATTCATATTACGTTGTTATTTAGGTCTTGAACACTAGCAGTGGATTAATTAAGATCAGAGTTTGTATACGTATGTTATAAGTATACTGTATTGATTTACCTTAATATTAAGACAATGTAACTTTACATATTTCTGTACATTTCTGTACATATGACTGGTTGATTCTGATACTAAATAAAAAATCTCATGAGCAGTCTTCTACAACAATGACTGGTTGATTCTGATACCGAATAAAAAATCTCATGAGCAGTCTTCTACAACAATGACTGGTTGATTCTGATACCGAATAAAAAATCTCATGAGCAGTCTTCTACAACAATGACTGGTTGATTCT